CTTTCGTTGTTGTTGTGGTTGTTGTTTCTTTGCTGGCTGGCGGGACACTGCTGATGAGGACGAGGCAGATGATAGTTTCAACAAAAAGTTGAAATTAAGGTCCGTCAATTTTTAAAATGAAGTAAATATAAACTTGGACAATCACAAAATCAATACACACACGCGCGCCTGAAATAAACAATTTTTTTTCGAAATTATTTTAGCAAAAATAAAATAATGTACGTGCAATTTATTCAATTAGTGCAAAATTTGTTTAGTCTCCAAATCTCATGTCATGATTTTTTAGAATTTTATTTACACAATAACTTACATATCATAATATATTTGCATACTGTGTTCAACATATATTTAGATGTCTTTGTATATTATATTACATATGTGCAGTGCAGCATCCATGTACCTATGTACCTATGAGATCATTTGCGAATGTCTGTAACAGTCACTGCCTGCACTCGTGCTATTCAAACAAACAATAGAGCAGTAGAAATCAGAGAAATATTATTATTTACGTTCAAATACAACCTACCACCAACTGACACTGGTTTATACGCATACATATATGCGAGTATGTCAACACATACATGATTACATACTACTTATTCATAAGTGAACACAACCATGCACACAAATACTCGCAAAGATATACAAAAATACGCACGTTGTTTTGCAAAAATACACACGCAGCAGCAGCGTACAATCGTATTAGAATCATGTGCAAGACGGTACAATGAATCAATCAATCAATGTGTTTGGGGCTCCTGAATGCTGTTTTGTGGTTGCTGCTTGGAGATTGGAGGTTTGTTGTTGATGTATTGTTGTTGTTGTTGTTGCTGTTGTTGTGGTTGTTGGTAGTGGTGTTGTTGTTGATGTATTGTTGTTGGTTGTTGGTTCTGGTGTTGATGGTTGTTGTTTTTAGTATTTTTACAATTTTTTTGTTATTTCAATTATTTTTGTGAATATTTCACATGTTCTTCCGTTCTGTTCTCCATCAGTGCTGCTGCATTGAGTTTCATTCTGATGTCGTCTTGCAACACGTTGAAAACTTTTCTAATGTTAATTGTAGTGTTTTTGTCCTTCATTGATGCTTGTAAAATATTGACAAATAAATTCTGTCATCTTAATACATCATGAATTTGAAGATTGTTTTGAAATAGGAGTTCATATAATTATTTCCACGATGAATGTCACAGAAAAGGAAAACTGTAATAATTTTTTTTTTACTGCACTGTAGTTGCAAGTTTGGTGTCATAATGTGCCCTGTTCATAAATTGATAATTGTAATTTTTTTTGTTAAACTTTTGTTAAATTTTTGTTTTTTTTTAAAATTCCTCTTGATATAATGGAAAAATTCGATCAAGCCATCAGTTCAGAGTTTGAAAAGAAGCCTTTGACCAAGGTGTTGTTTAGTAGGTTAGATTTTATTAGTAATAGTTTGGTCCAGTCCACCTAAGCTGGCGGGGAGCAGATTCAACAACCACACCATGAATGGAGGCGCCAGAAGCTGACGCAACCACTCGGGGAGAGAGAAAATGCTCATCCACCATTCACCGGCCCCACAACTCATCAATCCCCACCTCCAGTTCTATATAGTGTCTACTGTTTACATTCCTGATATGGCGCCAGAGTTTCCACTTATGTAGGTCACCCATGGGTGGCATTCAATGCAACTTTGAAGAAGGGGTTGATTCTTTCTTAATGGTATTGGAGTCTTCACTGTGCTATTCAGCCACAGTAGATTCTGACAGTTTTTGAGTAGCTATGGTAACTAGCCACTGCAGATTTTTAACATTCCTCTGAAAAAAAAGTTTAAATCTTAAACTCCTTTACAGCATTCGAGCCTCCACTATGATAATTATCTACAGCAGATTCTCGACATGTCTTTGGGGGAACTATAGATCTCCTCACTGTCATATCCGAGCCATCAATGTGAGGTTTGCCAACAGCGGACCTGACACGTCACTCAGGATGATTTGGATTTTTTTAATTATGTTGGTGAGTTGCACGGAGTGAATGCCACCGGCCAACAGGACCAGAAAACCTGCCCGCGTCCATCCCCCTCCACAAAACAGCACCACTTCCAACGCCTCCAGCCAAACACAATTATCGAATCCACTCCCCCGTGAGCTGCAGAAGAGGAGTACACCCATGCACCCAAGAATTAACAATACTCCTTGATGTCGAAGGTTATTTGACTCAATCTTCCTTCTGAACCAAAGAAACGCTAAGTCCATCCAAAATCACCACCGACCGATTTTGTAATAATTTATTGTAAAGCTATTTACAAATAATCTACAATTTGCTCAAACTCTGGCACGAATGTTGTGCGAAAATGCATTGTCAAACTTTTCATTCCTGCAATTTTTTACACAAATTATATGCAAAAATGACAAAATAATAATAATAACAATAATAAAAATAGTTATTGTAATGATGATGATGATGATAATAAAAATAATAATAATATCAGGAGCAGAGCAAGGCGGTTGACAGAATAAAATATTGTTTATCAAATTGGAAGGTGACCCTGGTGAACTCTGACCTCTGCCTCCTCCATGCAAATGGGATGCGCGCTGCTGCTCTCCACGCATCACTTCATCTCAACCATGAATTATTATTATTATTATTGTTGTTGTTATTATTTCTTATTATTTTGAATTTTATTTTGTCGATTGAATAAATAAAATATGTTCACATTATTATTATTATTATTATTATTATTATTATTATTATTATTATTATTATTATTATTGTTATCGTTTATTATTACGTATTATTACAGATTACGTATTTAACATTTTAATTAGATTCGATTTCATTATATTTTATTATTTATTTCGCTCCATTTTGTTTCATGTTTTTCAGAAAAATGAAAAAAAATTCAGCTGTTGTTGTTGTGGGTGCTGTTGTTGTTGTTGCAGCTGCAACTGTTGTTGTGTTTTTTGTCGTTGTTGTTGTTGTTGTCGTTAGAAACATTTCGTAATTTTAATAAATTGCATGATTGTTTTGTTTTGTAATTATTTTACGTTAAATTATTTTAGTTTTCATTACAAACATATTGTTTTTTTTTCAAAATTACCCTTAAATTCTTATGTGCATTAAAATTAATGCAACTAATACTATCTACTTATAATAAAAAATGAAAAGAACTGTCATAGAAAAAAAAAATCTAACAACGCCCGGTCTAACATTTCTTTGTGACAATACCTGAGAATGGAACTGAAGCAAGTGTGGTTGTGGGGCGTGAAGTGGAACATCACCGACCAGCAGCCCGCGATCCTCTGATGAATATCTTAGTATGTAAGCATCAGTCTTTAATATGAACCAAATCTTCTTGTTATGTATGTTTCATGCCGTTTTAATGCGATGAAATTTAGCTCGTTACAAAAAAAAATTGATTTTGAAACTCATTCAATACAAATAGGTACTACATTTAAAATTCAATTAAACTTTAAGTAAGGATGAAAAAGAGCTGTAACAATCAAATTAAAAAAAGTCAAATGACAATAATTTAAATAAACAAGAGAAATGACGAACATGCCGGCGTGAAATAACAGGAGTGTCTAAAATTTCTTCGAACAAGAGTGGGTGGTCAGGCAATGGAGGTGACAAGTTTAACAATTATATAAGAAATATCTAAAAATAATAGTGTGAATATATGTGACTGATGCGGAGCAAGCAAAACATGTGCAACCACACATGCAACCACACATGCAACCAGGCAACACTAATGTGACAAATATCAACCGTTTGTGATTGATACAAATGTAAAAAATAAATTGAAAACATGTCCCTCTCGTTAATTTGATTGAAAATTTATCGAAGCCAACTTGTTCTGATATTAACAAGATAGGCAGGTAAAGACATCAACTTAATGTTCCTGATACCAACTTAATGTCCCTGACATCAATTAAATGTTCCTGGCGCTAACTGAATATTACTGACATCAATTGAATGTTCCTGTTACATTAGTTGACATCAATAGAATGTTTATAACATCGAGTAATTGTTACTGTCATCAAAGAATGTCCCTAACATTCATTGAATAACACTGACATCAAAAATTACTGACATTTGAAATTAATCGAATGTTTCTGACATCCGATAAATATTACTGTCAGCAAAAAAAACCTCTGAGAATTACCAATGCGACCTTCCGATCGATATCCTAAAAATCCATTTATTCTCCAGCCGTTGTTTGTTGTCACGGTTACATCAATTATTCCATATCATTTTTTACTTTTCATCATTCGTCCAGGTGTAGAGAAAAAGTTGTTTCATCGAGAATCATCATCATCATTATCATCATCGCCATCATCATCATCGCCATTAGCATCATCGCCATTATCATCATCATTATCATCATCGTCATTATCATCATCGTCATTATCATCATCGTCATTATCATCATCGTCATTATCATCATCATTATCCTGTATACAAAATCATCCTAACATTTGGCCAACGGTCACAAGATATTCATCCATGGAGTATGATTCGATCATATTATTACATCGCTGAGACAAATGTCTGTCCCACCAGCTTTGTTGCGATATCAATATTTATTCCTTCATTAATTTATTTGTCTATTTATTATAATGTGTGATTCTAATTTTATGAAACAACACAGCCGTTACCATCATCATAATTATTAAAAACTACCATCATTTTCGTTGTCATCATCAACATCGTTGTCATCACCCTCATCATCGTCGTCGTCATCATCATCATTATGAATAAAACTTTGAAAATGAAAAATGAAATACATACATACAAACAAACACCTCTGGAAAGAATTGAACATTCTGAAATTAGACAATTAACGACAAGCTTGTCGTCTGAAATATTTCAACATGTATGTATGTTAAAACCAAAACATGATGAGTCAAACATCAAGTAACAAATGGATTAACACTTTGATTTGTCGTTAATTGCACATGTCGGCATTCAGTTGGATATTTTCAAGCACACAGACACGCAGGAACCGCTGCAACAAGCACGAAATGTGGTTAGTTGCGAAAAACAGTTCCCTTTTGTCGCCTGATCTGACGCTGATCATTTTGCATATTTCCTTAAGAAATTTAAGGGTGTTGGGGTCCATCGGGCCAAGAACCTCGATGCATATTAGCAAGAATTCCATCGAGGGGAGGGCGTTCCCATATTTTTTTCATTTTTTCATCTTCTCTGGCCGCGGCCAAACCGCATTCTTTACTTGTCAGGTTTACGTATCGTTCGGCGAGGGTGCCAGGGACCGTAACATCCCACGCCAAACATCTGCCGGCTCTCCAAGGTATTAGCATGCATCCGTCCGGGCGCCTACCATCATGCGCAGAAATGCCTTGAGAACCGGGATTGAAGCCTTGGAGAAGAGCCGACAAATGTAATCGTTTAGCGCTAAGTGACGTATTTGACGGCCCCCACCCAGGCGACAAACCAAACCGTGGTGCCCAAACTCGTCCGCCCCAGCGCCACATCGGCACGTGTATTTATTCTGAATGACCAGGCCAAGTCTGAAGCCAATGGCAAATCTCACAGACTCGTCGTCAAGCCTGGTGCCCACAGAGGTGTTAGGCCACGATCTCAACCACCCACAGCTGGCAACTCGGGTCAAGGCCAACAAACGAGCGGTGGAAAAGTCGTCGCCGCATGAAGACAACAAATTTTGAAAGATTTTTTTATATTCTTCGTTCAAAATTTGGACGTGCGTACGGTCCCCGGGGCGGACACTGGGGGAAGAATATCGCGGCAACAAAAGAACCGGTGGAGCAGGGAAGACTGGAGGTCGAGAGTGGCAGCGGCAGAAGAATTATAAACAACGGGAGCCAGCTGAACCACGCTAAGCAACCCCAGCCCACCAAATCGCACCGGCAGCTGAGCCTGGGACCAACCACTGTCAGTCACTTGAACATTGCAAATCGACGACAGGGCGGTGCGCAGGGCTCCGTCAAATTCGCCCAATTTAGAAGGGTCAATGTGTTTAGATGTACGCAGGAAGTACATCAATTTGGGCAAACTGAGGGCATGTATGTATGCATGCATGTATGTATGAATGTATGTATGTATGTTTGTATGTATGTATTTCATTTTTCATTTTCATTTTCAAAGTTTTATTCATAATCAACAACATATCAAATTAGTGAATAAAAGTTATGAAGTTGAATATGCGGAGACCGAATAAGACTGTTTGTCTTGCGGTGGCCACCGCAGGTAGATACATGAATAGTTAATGGAATAAAATAAAGAAAATAACTGAAACAGAAAGATAATTGAAGATAAATAAGTAAATGTTCGTGTCATTCATATATAGACATATAACTATGTTCGCTCAGTACATATATAAACACATAAATGTTTAACCATTCATAAAGACCATTCATCCGCATCATTTGTTCTAACGTATTCTTAATATAGTATTAGGTGGTGGAGTCGAGATCCAGTGTCAATAAAAAAGCACGGAATTTTGACTTGAAATATTGTAGGTTTATGATGGCTCTTAGATGGGGAGGTACAAGTTCTGTCCAAATTTTAGGACCTGTTATTTTTATGCTTGTCTGGATTAATTTGAGGCGAGTTTTGTAGATATAGAAGAGAGGGGTGTATCTAGTGGTTGTAGATTGGACGGAATTACTTAATGTGTAGAAGTTGATAAAGTGAGGTGGGAGAAGATTGTTGACAAATTTAAAAACGAATAAAGCAAAGTAGTAAAGACAGATGAAGTTAAGTGGTAAAATTTTTTTTGCTAAGAAGAAAGGTTTAGTATGGGAATCGGGTTTGAGGTTAAAAATTAAACGTATTGATCTTTTTTGAGAGAGTATTAGGTTATTCAGGTGGCTTTTTGGACTATTTCCCCATAGTATGATGCAGTAGGTTAGATAAGGGTAGATGAATGTGTAATAAAGCGTTCGAAGAGCAGAAAGAGAGAGTTTATATTTGATTTTGTTGAAGATGCCTGTGAGTTTGTTGATTTTGTCTGAGGTAGTTTGTAGGTGAGAATTCCATGAAAGATTTTCTGTGATGGTGATTCCAAGAAATTTGGTAGACAGGGTGCGGCTTATAGAAACACCATTAACTAATAGGTTTAGGTTAGGAGCTTGGTTGGTGAGTATTTTTGGGCCAAAAATAATGTATGCACATTTCGAATAATTTATGATTAGTTTTTTATTGGATACCCAGTTAGAGTATTTTTGGAGTTCAAGATTGATAAGTTCAGAGCAATCTGGTAGGTTGTTGGAAATGAAAAGAAGGTTGGTGTCGTCTGCGAACAGTACGCATTTGGTTGAGGGCGAAACGTTGCAGAGGTCATTTATGTAGATAGAAAATAGAAGGGGTCCTAGTATGGATCTTTGTGGTACCCCGTGATGAATAGGAGCGTGCTTTGAAATGATGTTGTCCATGGAAACATATTGTGTCCGTGATGAGAGATAGCTTCTCATCCAGTTGTGAGCTGTGCCTCTTACTCCGTAATGATGTAGTTTGGATAGGAGTATTTTGTGATCGATTTGCTTTGGATAAGTCCAGGAATATGCCAATAGAAAGATTTTTGTTATTCATTTCATTTAGTATATGCTGAGTGAAGTCAAGAATAGCAAGCTCAGTAGAGTGGTTGGGTCTGAATCCGTATTGGTTATTGCAGATAGTATTGTTGGAGCAGAAGAAATTAGAGAGTCTTTTAAAGAAAAGTTTTTCAAGAATTTTTGACAGCGGGAAAAGAATGGAGATGGGTCTGTAGTTGTTAATGTCATCTTTGTTTCCTTTCTTGAATACTGGTATGATTTTGGCTATTTTAAATGAGTCAGGAAAGATTCCAGTGCTTAGTGATAAGTTGAAGATATGATTAAGTGGTGGTATGATAGAGAAAATGATGCGTTTGATAAGGAACATGTTGAGTCCATCGTCTGCATAGCTCTTTTTGTTTTTCAAGATATTAACAGTAGTTAATATTTCATGTTCAGTAACAGGATATAGACAAATGGAATGGGGTGTGGATGGGCTCATAAAATCTGTAGGACTACCATAGCTGGGAGGTTGGTTTGAGAGTAGTTGGCTAGCGATGTTTGCAAAGTGGGTATTGAAAAGGTCACAAATTTCTTGTTTATTTTCAATTGCTTGGTTGTTGATAGTTAGTTTGGTGAGTGATGAGTTTGGAGGTTGCTTGTTTAAAATTTCTTTGATAGTGTTCCATTTTTGTCCAATATTGTTATGTGCGTCTTCAAGTTTGTTAGAGAAGTAGTCTCGTTTAGTTTTTCGTTTAATAGTTGTGAACATGTTTCTGAAGCTTTTGTAGAATGTGGTTGGATATTTAAGGCTTATGATGTATAGTTTGTTTTTCTTTTCCGCAAGGCTGTTGTCATTGATCCAGCATTTTTTCTTTTTGTTTTTGACAGGACGGAGGGGGGCAAAAGTGTCTAGAGAGTGAGTTAAGATAGTATTCAAAACAGAGCAGCAGTCGTTGACATTTTTTAGAGAAGTCAAAGAATTCCAGTTGTGGTTCAATAATAAATTGTTGATGTTGTTTATAGATTCTTCAGTTAGGTTTCTGAAGTGTTTAATAGGGGCATGGTTTGAGTTTTCTGATTTGGAAGCGATGGCGAATATAGGGAAATGGTCAGATATGTCAGACAGTATTATTCCAGATAAGTGAGGAGTTAGGTTGTTAGTAAAGATATTGCTATTGATATTGATAGTAAAAGTGAGCAAGAAGAAGTTGAGATGCGAGTAGAGGAGGTTATAAGAGGTAAGAAGTTGTATGATGATAGTACGTTAGAGAAGTCAGCAACGACGTTGTCACTGTTGAGTTTATTGAGGTCAAGGTTAAAGTCGCCAATTAAATAGCTCTTTATGTTTGGCTTGAATGTGGGTAAAATAAGTTCGAGCTTTTGGATTAAGATATTAGGGTCAGTGTTGGGGGGTCTATATACTGCTAAAATATTTACATGTGTGTTGTTTAATTTTAAATTGACACCAAGAAGGTCAATAACGGTGTCGTTCAAAAGCAAATTGTTTATCATAGAAAATTCAATGCCTGATCTGATGAAGATTCCGACTCCACCACCTATTCTGTCAGACTTATTTTTAAAACAAAATTGTAATCATTCATACGAACTAGTTTAGCGGTTTCGTCATTCAGCCATGTCTCTGATATAATAATAATGGGAAAAAAATAAGATAAAAATTTATTCAAAATTAAAATGTCAGAAATTTTATTTAAAAGACTTCTGCTGTTTATGTGAAGTAAATCGCACCGGAAGCTGAGCCTGGGACCAATCACTGTCGGTCACTTGAACATTGCAAATCGACGAAAGGGCGGTGCGCAGGGCTCTGTCAAATTCGCCCAATTTAGAAGGATCAATGTGTTTGGATGTACGCAGGAAGTACATCAATTTGGGCAAACTGAGAGCATTGCGGATAATAGTCAAGGCATCATGGGCCAAAAGACAGGAAACACGACCCAGGGCGAATTTGAGCTCAGAGAGCTTTTGGTCAAAAAACTTTATTTGGTAATCGCCCTCGACCAAGGGTGTGCCTAAAAAACTCAGTTCTGATGCACCAACTCTGGGTATTCCAGCCAGCGCATGTGGCACCTGAAATAAACTTTGGCAGTGAAGTTCGCATTTGTTAATGTTTAACTCTAAACCAATTGCAGCAGAGTTATGTTTCAAATATTCGTAGCTATCGGCCAGAGTTGGGCCGTCCGAAACAATGCTGATATCATCCAGATAAGCGCAAACGAAAGAGGACGAAGCTTTCTCTAAGAGTGGATGAAGAGTTAGTGCGAACAGCAAAGGACCAAGGGGATCACCCTGCTGTACCCCCTCGGACGATTCTACAACCCATGAGTGGTAGCCAAGGGAAGAGACTCCGCCATAGGCAGAATGGAAAAATTATAGATATTGGGGCAAAAAAGTTTGACAGCCTCCAACATCGAGTCTCTTCTTAAGGCGTTGAAGGCATTTTTAAAGTCCAGTTTCAGAAACCCCCATTGATCGGGGAGGTCGGTGACCAATCTTCAAACCGCATGAACAGCGGCCTCAGCGCCACCCTCAGCCGGGTAGAATTTGGTCTTGAGTTTGACCACGACCAGGGCCAAGGCACATTTGCCGGCTAACCTCCTCCAAACGTTCCCGACCGCAATCGGTCTGACCCCTCCGTCTTTCTTATTTAAAGCTATTAGCCGGCCTCCAAAAAAGAACCAGTGGACGGAGAGTGGGCAAACTCCAGATAGGATCAAATTAATGAGTTGGGTTAAGGAGTTCAGTGTGTCGTCGATTGGCAAGGGGCCTGAAAAAACATCCTTAAGGTGCTGGGGTCGTAGGCCATCCAGGTCTCCAGAAGAACCGTTTTTGAACGATTTAACGGCCCTCAGCACCTCGGCGGGAAAAACGCAACCAGCCGTTGGTGTCAATGCGGGGAAGACCCGCCTGTCCACCAGAATTTTTGAGTGGATGGAACATAATTTATCGAAAGTGGCTGGCGAGCTCTCCGCCAGGCCCTCTGGCGAACAGACAAGTCTGACAGCCGAGGACAGGTTTCCCTGTTCAATGCAAGATGACACAGCGTTGATCCACCGTTGTGCTTTTGTGATTTGGCATTATTGAACCCATCAAAGCACAGTACTAGGGTTTCAAGACCAATAGTTGAATATTCGCTTAGACGCTTGTTGACCAGATTGCCGTGGTTGACCCGGCGACCCCCTCTGGAAGTCTTCTGTAAGACGTATGGGACAAAACAGTGGAGTCTAACCCAGTGGACCGGGTCACCAGGGTCATTACAAACAGCCGTCAGCAAGGCGTTCAGATCATGTGCAAACTTCTCCCTGCATGGTTTAGGAATATGGTCGTACACCGGTACACATTTCAGCACGGCCGTCAGCTTGTCAAAAACACCAGAGTAATCCAGGTCGAGAGGATCACTGGAGACCGATGCGGCCGTCGACCGTGTGGACAACCTAGGCTTGGGGTCGGGTGCGGCACCGGGAGGCGAAGCCGTCCTCGCGCCCGATGGATCAATTTTTTTCCGAGACCCCGAGCATTCCTGTCCTTTCACTTTATTTCCGTGCCGACATAACTTCCCGTCTGGAGTGCTTCTGTAGTGGTTAAAGCAGACGGGCAACGTTGGAGCCATATGTGATTAAAAACAACCAAGAAACGAAAGAAAGGAAACAAACCAAGTGGGGTGGATGGATGAATGAATGGATGAACAAGCGAATGACCAAATGAACGGGCGAGCGAACAAACGAATGAATGAGTGAATGAATGAAGAAATGAATGAGTTAATTACTGAACGGGCGAGTGAAGGAAAAAAACAGAATGAATGAATGAATGAACGAACGAATGGATGAATGAACGAATAAATGAATGGTGACGAACGGATGAATGACTGAATTATCTTTAAATATTTAACCAGTGGAAAATATATATAACTTTTTCAACTTCTTTTTTTTTATTTTTTTTCCTTTCTTTTTTTTTTTGATGAATGAATGAGTGAACAAATGAGTGAATGAGTGAATACAAAAACCTAGGCAACAGTTTGGGAGGAGACAACTATTGCAACAAACTTTGGCCCAATCTCTCCTCTTACAGTTTATTTTTTTACACAGATTTTAAAATTGGTTTAGGAATTTTCTTTTTTATAAATAAATTTTAATTTAAATTTTAATTTAAAAAATAAATTAAAAATAAATGTCGGTAGAAGGTAAATAAGTTAAAATGTAGTGAACTTTCCGATAATAATAAAACAGCTCACACCTGGCGCAGGCCGGTGACCTGAATAAATAATAATATTGATAAAAAAAAAACAAAAAACAAGAAAATTGGCCAAGGCAGGGCAGAAAAACGATAAAAAATGACGGAAAAACAAACCCGGGACAAAATTACAGCTGACGACCCCAAAAATTATATGTAAAAACAAGTTAAAATCAATGAATTTTACAAAATTAACCAGATAATTAAAACAATCCAGCGGGCTTTGAATGTGAACAAACGAGTATGTATGTATGTATGTATGTATGTATGTATGTATGTATGTATGTATGTATGTATGTATGTATGTATGTATGTATGTATGTATGTATGTATGTATGTATGTATGTATGTATGTATGTATGTATGTATGTATGTATGTATGTATGTATGTATGTATGTATGTATGTATGTATGTATGTATGTATGTATGTATGTATGTATGTATGTATGTATGTATGTATGTATGTATGTATGTATGTATGTATGTATGTATGTATGTATGTATGTATGTATGTATGTATGTATGTATGTATGTATGTATGTATGTATGTATGTATGTATGTATGTATGTATGTATGTATGTATGTATGTATGTATGTATGTATGTATGTATGTATGTATGTATGTATGTATGTATGTTAAAACCAAATCATTGACGAATGACACCAAAAGCCAAGCGTCTGACTAAATTTGATTTTATTTGCTATAACGTCACTCAACCCCGTCGGCATTCAACTCCACATTTTCTAACACACAGATGCGCAAAAACCGTTGCAGAATGCACGAAATATTATTCATAGCGAAAAAATATTCCCTACTATCGCCTGACGTAATACTGATATGTTTACAAATTCGATTGAAAAACCCGGAGATGTTACGGTCCATGGGGCCGAGGACCTTGGTACAAATCGGTAAAAACTCCATCGAGGGGAGAGCTCCGTCATACTTCTTGATCTTCTCGTCAGATGCCTTGGTTGCAGCCAAACCGGTTTCTTTGCTAGTACGCTGCACGAAGCGCTCAGCAAAGGTGCCCGGAACGGTAACGTCCCACGCCAAGCACCTGCCGGCTCTCCAAGAAATCAAGGTACACCCGTCAGGGCGCTTACCGTCGTGCGCCGCAATGCCCGACGGTTCCTTTAAAACCGGAATTGAAGCCTTGGAGAAAAGCCGGCACACAAAATCGTTTATGGCTGAATGTCGCTGCTGGCGACCTCCGCCCAAACGACAAACAAGACCATGATGGCCGAGTACATCCGCCTCCGCGCCGCACCTGCATTGTGTGAGTGTATGTATGTATGTATGTTAAAACAAAATTGTGATGAATGACACCAAACAGTCAAACATCTGATTAAAAGGGTTAACACTTTAATGTATCGTTAGTCTCACACGTCGGCGTTTAAATTAATATTTTCCGACACACAAACACGCAGAAATCGCTGCAACAAACACGAGATGTGGTTTATTGCAAAAAAGAACTCTTTGTTGTCACCTGACCGAACACCAATCATTTTACACAATGTTTTAATGAATTTTGAAGTATTGGGGTCCATGGGTCCAAGGACCCCGATACATATTGGCAAAAAATCTAAGGAAGGCAGGGCGTGTTCATCATGTATGTATGTATGAATGTATGTATGTATGTATGTATGTATGTATGTATGTATGTATGTATGTATGTATGTATGTATGTGTGTATGTATGTATGTATGTCTATATATATGTATGTCTATATATATATATGTATTTAATGTATATAGGTATGTATGTTTGTTTGTATATATGATTGTTTGTATGTAGGTATTTGTATGTATTTATGTTTGTTTGTTTGTATGTATGTATGTGTGTGTGTGTTTGTGTGTGTGTGTGTGTGTGTGTGTGTGTGTGTGTGTGTGTGGTGTCACATAGTTTATAATTATTGATATTATCCACTTCAAAGCATTTCTTCCCCCTGCTTATATTATTTTGAAGATGTCGTCTTTATTGGGTGAGTGGAGTGCTGGCATATTTTTATGCTCGTCTTGATTATGAAAAATTTCATGTTTTAATTTACGGCTGGTTAGTCCTGTTCTATATTTGTGGACAAACAGTTAAACATACTTATAATTACTTTTATATTTATAACTTTTATTTATTGGTGTATTTTCAGTTGAGTTTGACTTATTAGTAGAACCATCAGTGAATGTTTTGATTTGGTTGCTTTTAGATTTGACTTGTTTTCGTGAACGTTCGTTTTGAAAACTGCACATTGAAAGTTGAGTGTGCATCCGGCGTTGTTGAATGTTTGTGCGTGTATGCCGGGGATCAAATGCGGGAAATGGGAGCAGAGATTTCGAGGAAGGATTTTCATACAAGTGCCGTCTGCAGTATCCGGGACGTTTCGATATCAAGGAATAAATTAGCGATCATCTGTCCTCGCTGATAAATGCTCTGCTGTGATTTGTTGAAGGTTGCTTGGTTTTGTGGGTTTTTGTGTGGTGAAGTGCAATGTTGTGTGTTTTTAGGTGTTTTTAGTTGTTGTGGAAAACTGTAGAAAACTTCGTGACAATGTGTATTTTTATGTGCTGTTGTGTGTTGTTCTAAAGAGGCTGTTGTTTGTTGTTTAGTGCTGCTGCGCGTTGTTGCATGTAGTTTCATGTGGTTGCATGTAGTTGCATGTGGTTGCGTATAGTTGCATGTGGTTGCGTGTGGTTGCGTTTTACATTTTAAGACTGCTTTGTGTTCTTGTTATCAAGCTAAAAATTATTACCATGATAAAACTTAACATCAAAATATAATTGAATAAATATTTTACTAGCACTGTCTATCTATGGGGTCTTAGGTCAGTTTGTTAAATTATGTATTGGCAAGTTATTTTTTAATCCACAACGCTTGTGAGAAACGAACCCAGAGTGACTTGAGGGAGACACAAACTGAAGCCAGCAGAACAACTGAATCAGAAGTTTTGCACTTGTCTCAATGTGAGATCTCGATAAGATTTGTAATAGGCATTTGTTAAATATTACTCAATACACGGCAACTACAACAGCAGCTCCTACCACAGCCACACTGCAACTGCAGCCAAAACTACAGGCTGCAGGTAGAAAAAAGATTGCAGCGCATGGCAATAACATGAGAACAATCAAACGAGAGCATTGAATGGAAGCAAATTGCATGCTCTCAATCCTTGGACTTTCCATTGAAATTCCATAACGATTACAAATGAATCGAGATAAGATGGGCTCATCTCTCAGGAACTGTCACTTTATAGCATACAATATCCTCCTTCCATCTCCTTATTTAATTGTGCCCAGTGGTGTTCGGGCGACTGTCTGCCTCTATTTATTTGGAGCTTTTAACGCTATTGCTATTCTCAATTTTTGTTATTGGTTGGAAGAAAAAATAGGCTTTTGAGGAAAAAAAATAATTTGATTTGCTGAGGTTGTTTTATATTTCGGCGCTTAGCTTCAAGATGAAGATTTTTATGCCATGCAAGTATGCCGCCCACAACTATGATGATGATTGTACAGTGTACAATGTACATCATTTAATTTATCTTACAAATCGTCGTCATCTTTCAACATCGGTAACGCTTCTTGCTACGCTAACTGTGTAAGTGATCGTTAAGAGGAACTGAGATTTTTAACCCTTGTAATTTATTTAAACATTGATGATGGTGATGTTAATTATGTCGATTGTGACGATACTGACGATGATGATAATGTTGTTGAAGATGTTGTTAATAATGTTGATAATAATGTTGATGGTGTTGTTGATGATAATGATGATGTTGATGATGATGATGTTGATAATGATGATGAAACTAGTGTTGATGATGATAATTTCATGAAAAAATATTTAATGGCACGTGGCGTGTCCTCAGCGGAAAAGGAAGTTTATTTGGTGGTAGCAACTTTCATAAGTGAGTTAGCCATCCAATCAAACGCCCAAAAGAGATGGAGTCTTTGAAAATTTCTCATCAAGGTAGGAACAAACGAGTGTTGTAGTGTGAATATTACTCTATCAGTCGACTGAATGTCGTGAGGGTGATGATGATGATTGTGACGATGATGATGATGCTGGTAGCGATGATGATGGCGATGATGATGATTTTGTTAATGTTAGAAGTTTCGATTAGTTTGATGTTTCACGATCATTTTATTGATGACAGGTTTTTAGCTGCTAGTATATATAAGTTAAAATCAAGTTCAATGAGCAAAACTGTAATTAAAACGTTAAAAAACAATGAAAAATTAATTAAACTTTAAGTATATTCTTATTTGACACCAGCTAGGACAGGCGTATGTGGTGCGTTCAACCATGATCACCATCGTCATCATTTGGGGCGTTCCAATGTTCTTGCAACTCGTTATTCTAGCCAACAAATTAACCAAATTTAGGGCT